GGTATGCTCGCCGTGGGGTACAAAGGCGTTGTCGCGACAATGTGGTCAATACGCGACGACGACGCGCCGTTGGTCGTCGAGACGTACTACAGGAAGTTGCTTGGGCTTCGTGCACTGGGGATGCTCGAGAAGGGGGAGACAGGCGCGGCGTATGCGCTGCATGAGGCGACGAAGCGACTGAGGGAAGAAGTCGGGGAGTTGGAGGTCGTTCGATGGGCACCGTTCGTACATTTCGGTATATAGAGTGACTTCGTCGTTCTAGGACATTTGTTTAGCTCTATCCGCTTATGTATGTATGCTTAAGAGATGGGCCCACCTTTGCGTACCAATTCTTCGCGCGCGGCCAGAGTATTGGTTTCTCACGCGCCACCCGCGCATAAGCTCGACTTATAAGATAAGACGTCTTGTCGGATGCACACGCAGCCCAAACAGCTGCGTCGCTACGAGCGAAGTGGGACCTCCCAGGAAGGAGTTCTGGCAGGGCGTCGAGACTTTTGACGACCTTGATGGCTCAAGCAAAACACCTGCTTGACCTTGTGCGTCGGGCATCCGTGTCGACCTGGAGAAAGCACCACGTAGAGCAGAAATGTGTATTCGAGAATTAAAGTTCGCAGGGAAATATTACTCAAGCCTGGCGATTTGATCAGTTGACCGCTCGTCGGGGATAGGGAGTTGGGCACGTACTATTCTAGCTCATCCATCTTCCTACTCGGATACACATCCTCTACCACCTTTCTACGTTTCCGTATTCATGCTCTACAGCCGCTGGTCTCGTGAGGACCGATGGTAGGTGGAGCCGGCGGTTGCCATCGATCCAGGCTCGCCGCCATTTGCGGTTGATGAAGAAGGCTCAGCGAAGAAGGGCAAGCATGATGGTGGTCATCGTGTGAGGAGGCTCGGAGCCGCTGTCGCGACGGTCTCCTCCCGCCGTCATGGCGCGGTCCGCCGCTCTGCACTCAATATATCGCCTTGAGCAAAATGACTAGCCCGTCTGCGAGTGCTTGGGCGCGAGCTGCATAGCTCGTCCAATCGGGAACTTCACCACCGAGTGTTGGTCGCTCAAATACGCAGATAAGCGACAGGCTTTCTCACGTCATGAGTCTGCTTGCATGCTGCATGTGAGGCTGTACTCGACTGCCCACACAGCATGCTACGGTCAGATGGCCTCCGACTGAACCACTTCCATATTTCTACCATAGCATCGTACTTCCAATCGAGCTTTTAAGCGCCTTCGTCTTGCCCCTCAACCCTGCGTAAGTGGTACGCTTCATTCAGGCGTGCTAGCATCGTATACTGAAGCTACGACCACACAGGCAGACGTTCATCAGTATGGCAGGCCAGCATGATCGTTCTGAAGCATATATATCATCTCCGCTTTCCCAAGTGAGCCATCGGATGATGATTTGTACTCGCCAGACTATCTGACAGCCTGCTCCAGACTGCACATCCTCCGCCACGCAATGACCCGCAGCCGAGCAAAGTTCGCGCCGCCCGCGATGCATACGCTCGTTACGAGGAAACTCAGAACGTCGCATGTCTCCACTCTGCCATCAATCTCTATCAAGAAGCCGTGGACACAGCATCTGAACCGAATGCTGCTACGCTGAGCTGGCTGGGACACTGCCTGCATGCTCGCTTTGAAGCTCGGGGCAAGCTTGAAGATCTCGATCGATCTATTGAAGCAGGTCGAAGGGCGCTTGAGCTCGTTCCGAACGAACACCCCGACAAGGCTCAAGCATTATGCAACCTATCCTTCTCGCTGAAACACCGCGTCAGGCGCCTCGGTCTCGTTGATAACCTCGAAAGTGCCATTGAGCTGCAAGAGCGCTCCCTCGCACTGACACCAACGGGCCACCCCAGTATACCAGTCAGACTCGACAACCTCGGCTCCTTGTTGTCGCTTCGTTTCGAACGGTTTGGACAGCCCAACGACCTCAACCGCGCTATCTCGGAACACGAACGTGCCGTTGAGCTGGCTGATGGCCATGTCGATAAAGCAACTAGACTGCACAATCTTGCAGTGTCCTTGATCAGGTGTTTCGAGCGCCTGAGGGAGCCGGAGGATCTCAATCGTGCCCTTACGTTGGGAAACCGCGTCGTTGAACTCACCCCCGATGGTGATCCCGACCTCGCGGTGAGGCTCGGTACCCTCTGCTACATGCAGGACACTCGATTCAGACACCTGGGGGAACTAGAAGACGTCGAACATGCAATCATGGGACGACAGCGGGTAATCGAACTGACCGCTGACACAAATCCCGATAAGGCGATGCGGCTACACAATCTTGCATCGTCTTTACTGAGTCGCTTCGAGCGTCTGGGCGATCCCGAGGACCTTGAGCGCGCCATCACAATGCAGCGCCGCGCGATCGACCTTACTCCGCATGATCACCCCGACATGCCTATACGGTTCGACAACTTCGGACACTCGCAGTTCCTCCGTTACCAACGACACAAGAAGCTCGAGGATCTCGAAAGTGCTGTCGCAGAACAACGGCATGCAATCGAGTTAACTCCCAATGGTCATCCCGAGGAGGCGACTCGGCTGCATAACCTTGCGTCGTACTTGCGTCGTCGCTTCGAGCGCTCAGGTGACCGTGACGATCTCAAGAAGGCCCTCGAACTGCAACGTCGCACCATCGAACTCACTCCTGATGATTATCCCGGAATGCCAGTGCGACTGGACAACTTTGGATACCTGCACTATCTTCGTTTCGAGCGCTTCGGAGAGCTCGATGGCTTGAAGTGCGCCATTGAGGAGCAGAGGCGTGCAGTGAACCTCACTGAGGATGGCGATAAGGACAAGGAGACGAGGCTGCACAATCTTGGGATGTCTCTTGTTACGTGCTTTCGCCGAGAAGGGGATGCGGATAGTCTCCGGGAAGCACTATCCTGCTTCACGACTGTCACATCCTACCCGCTACTCTCGCCAGTTGAGCGTCTCAACACAGCGAAGAGCGTCGTCATACTTCTCAACGACTACCCGGACTTCAGTACGCGCGCGGACCTGCTTCTCGCGCACTCACGCATCGTTGACATCATACCCGAGCTCGTCTGGGTCGGATACGACTTGAAACGTCGCCTTGAAGAGTCACAGCAACTCGGCGAACTCGTCAGCTCCGCTGTATGTGCTGCTATCGGCGCTGACGCCGTAGCTCAGGCCGTGGAATGGTTCGACGTGGGCAGGGCTCTCATATGGACGCAGACTTTATCGCTGCGCAGCCCACTGCATGAACTTGAGCAGGCCCATCCGGACCTCGCACACGCTCTCACTCATGTTCACGCTCAACTGCAGAGCTCGATGAACTTGCCACCACATCAGGAGATGGGCGCTGCAGAGCCTCGCGAAGACGCGCAGCGATCACAAAAAGACCGCCATCGTGGGCTGGCGATAGAACATGGGAAGCTTCTCGCAGAAGTTCGTCGCCTACCGGGCTTCGAGGGCTTCATGCGCCCGAGGAAGCTATCTGCGCTATTGCAATCATTCACGCCTCTCAGCGGCCCCGTCGTCTGCATCAACGTGGATCGCACGCGATGCGATGCCTTGATCATCCACCCTGAAGGGACGATCACCACCCTTCATCTTTCTGAGCTTTCTTTGGCCAAGGCAGAGGCCCTACGTTCTCGGTGGCAGTCGTACCTTGAACAGCAGAACGTTCGAGTTCGTGAGCGCAGTTCCTCGGTGCGATATCGCAAGTGTCAATTAGGCAGTGATTCGGCTGCCCGCGTTTTAGACCGCCTTTGGAGATGGGTTGTGGGCCCAATATTGAGAGTACTCAACTTGGTGGAAGTCGTCGTGAGTCCTCATCACCATGGGCTGTCTGAACTGTGCACTGACTGAATTGGTAACTATGCAGTATACAGCAAATGACCCCATGCCCCATGTTACTTGGTGCCCCACTGGAGCACTGATGCAGCTACCACTGCACGCAGCGGGCATCTACGATGAGACTGGAGGACCGCGCACATGCGATCTTGTGGTCTCTTCGTATGCGCCGTCATTATCCGCGCTTACGCGCAGCCTTGATAGTTCCGTGAGACAACTTGGCCCCACACCTCGCATCCTGGTGGTAACGCAACCTGATACGCCCGGCTTTCCGCCATTACCGGGTACAACAGTTGAGGGGCTGCGGTTGCGAGAGCTCTTCGACGACACGGAGACACCATCTATGGCTCTTGACGGAGAGCATGCGACAACAGACGCGGTTCAACGTGTACTCGGGGCGTACTCGTGGCTGCACCTCGCATGCCATGGCTCGCAAGACGCAAACAATCCATTGAAGAGCGCGTTCGCATTGTACGACGGCCTGCTAACGCTGTCTGATCTCATGGCGACCACCGCGGATAATGCGGAACTTGCGTTCCTTTCCGCGTGCCAGACCGCCGTCGGCGACGAGAAGATCCCCGAAGAGTCCATGCACCTCGCAGCGGGCATGCTCGCCGTCGGCTTCAAAGGCGTCGTTGCCACGATGTGGTCGATACGCGACGACGATGCGCCTCTAATCGTCGAGGAGTACTACAAGAAGCTTCTCGAGCTTCGCGTATCAGGCTCTCTCGGACAAAGAGAGACGGGTGCAGCGCCCGCGCTACATGAGGCGACGAAGCGGTTAAGAGAAGAAGTTGGCGAGAAGGAGTTCCTGCGATGGGCGCCATTCGTGCAGTTCGGGATATGATGGTTATGTAATCAGTATGAGTACACGTTCACATCTGTAGCGCTTGTAGTTATTGAAAGACGGCGCATATATGGTGTCTGCGCAGTGATTGCGATCGTTGGGAGCAGAAATCGTGCTGCCATCTCTTTCACCATAAGGCGCAGCTTGCTCCGGGCCGGTAGACTGGCGAAGTTCACACGATGGACATTGCCAGTATTCTTCGTATCCTATCGTTATACACATTCGGTAAAGCTTCATGACCTATGTATACACAACCTTAAGCCAGTTCTTCCAAGTTTTCGGCCTCCTTCTCATCCAACGACTCGATCGGATGAGACGAACCGAATGACCCCGCGTCCTCAATCAAAGCATCGTCCCTCCCACCGCCTTCCTCGAACGCCGTCTTATGCTTCTCAAAGTGCGCGCCATGCGCTTCAGGACCGAGGATAGTGACGACGAGGATAAAAGCGGCGACGACGCCAACGAGGATGCCTTGCACGGTCGCGTAGTCGGGAACTTCTTTCGCTACGCCGTTGATGAGCACCGTAGTGCGCAGGTTCTCTCCGCCTTTCGCTTCAATTTGCGAGGATGCTGAAGAGATCATCTACGGACGTGCAGTCAGCATGGATTCATCAGAGTACGGGCGACACCACATACATTGCTCAGTTGGTACGCTACGCCTGGGAATGTTGCGCGAAACGCAGGCGGCGAGACCTCTGCGAGCTGGATCGGGATAACGCCGAAGGCACCTTGAGAGCCAAATTGAAGAAAGAAGGCGCCCGCTGCGAGTGCGGAGAAGGAGGTGGGGACGATCCACAGCGGTATGAATGCGCCGGTCCAAATGATGCATAAGACGATGGTGAGTCGTCGTCCGAGATACTGAGAGATGTAACCGGCAACAGTGCTTCCTGTCAATCAGAGGTTTAGTCACGATGTTGCGCATATACCATCAAAGAAGTTGGCTCGTACCTGCTACAGCGCCGCAGGTTGAGATGATGGTGGCAACGTTTGCGTCATGGGCGCTGAATCCCTTCGTCTGTTGCAAGAACGTCGGGTAGAGGTCTAGCGAACCGTGCGAGAGGAAGGATAGGCCCGTCATGAGCAGGACAGCGTATATGCCGACAACCCAGTGTAGCCTGAGCATAACGCCAGTTTCTTTGACGAAGATCCTCGACCTCTCTGCTGTCGAGGTCGAGGTGCCCGTTGCGCGCTGTGCCGCCTTGGCGCGAAGGAAGATCTCCGATTCGGGAAGAAGTGACCGGACGATCGCTGCGAAAAGTGACAATCCCGCCGACGTCCAGAAGAGAGCTCTCCATCCAACGGACACATTAGGCACCAAGAATAGATTGATGACGGCCGCGGCGAGGTATCCCGAACCGTATCCTTGTTGCAGTACCCCGGATGCGAGTCCGCGTACTTCCACAGGCAGGTTTTCAAGCGCCGTCGATGATGCAAGCCCCCATACACCGCCCATCCCAACACCAAAGAGGGAGCGTACGGCGAGGAATTGAGGGAATGATTGTACGAAACCGGTTCCGAGCTCGAAGGCGACGATGAGGATCAGGTTGCAGACGAGCGGCCTCTTGTGGCCAAAGCGGTCAGAGATGATGCCAAAGATGACCTATGGGAGAAGGACGGAGTCAGTAAAATCTTGAAATAGGTTCTACAGCGGGTAACTGATCAAAGCTTGGGGAACTACTCTGAGAAACCAGCAGAACGCTGAGCTTGTTGTACAACCTGCTCGCACGCGGAGGTACCATTAGTTCGCGGTTGAAAGCCGATGCAAGCGGGAGAGCCAACTCTCCCGCCACGAATGATGTATCGCCTCTTCTCGAAGTAGCTGCAGACTGACAAGGAACAAGAATACTCACGGCTCCAGCAGGGCAGAATAGCAATGTCAATGTAATGGCTGTCGTCTTGAGCACATTTGTTAGCGTAAATGATGCATTCGGCTTCAGGCGGTATCACACACGATCATATCCGATGCGTGAGCCTTGCCAAATTGCCTCTGTAGATTCGTGACGAACGATACGGAGAAGAAGTCGAGCAAGTCTGTGAACCAAAATAGCCATATGTGCTCCTCAGCTTCGTCCAGTACTCATACAGAGGTGGGAAACGTACCCTGACCAGAATAATGCCCATCGGATCCATGTCAGGTCTGAAAGAGCTCTCCAGAGAGTGCGTTCTCGGCGACGCGGCTCACAGCGAGGAACGAGGTTGCAAATGGTGGAGAGTGACATGTAAGATATAGCTCACTTCGAGGACAGCGAGAGCAAGTATGACACTCGGTGAAGCTCTGGGCATCTTTGAGACATGTACGGTCATCCCATAAGAACCCGCGCGCTTAGCCACGGATGTTCAGGGCTAAACGACCAGACATTGAGAGGTTTTGAAGCCTCAGCCTCACGCGACCAGAGGTAGACAGTTATCATTGATCATAGAGAGTTAACTTAATACTGGGTCGTGTTATCTCGTCCCAAACGGGAGACATTGACGCGTGGTGACAGTTTGGGACGAGACGCGTCGTTCGCGCGTTCGCAGGCATCCGCGCGTCTTTCTCTTCCGACTTCCATAGGTAAATCACAGGTACTGCTCTACGACATGGCGAGCTGGTATAAGTGGGCCGTCTGAATGACCCCAGGTATGAGGGTACGTGCAATGGGTCGTTTCATGTATAGTGCATAACGTGTGGACGAATGGGAAGGGCGGTGCTTAGCGCTGGTGCGTGACTTGGTGCGTGCGACTCTGTCCGTTATCCCTACCATGCGTCTAATATGCTTCCGCAGGTGCATGCTCTCTCTTACTGTATAATCAGCTTGCGACAACACTACAGCAACCCCACTCTTGATTACAGGTCGAGCTCTGTCCGTCTGGATCTTAGTCGACACTCATCTTTCTTTCCCCGCTATCTGTCAATATACGTTGGAAGGTTCCACCCACGCAGGACACCCAGACAGGCCAAATCATTTGACCAGGCTACCCTTTACTTCGAACGTCATTATCACCATCACCATCGTCACCCGCACCTAATCTATTTTCTATCATTACTAAAATGTCAAAGTTTCCGCCGGGTGTACTTCTTCTACGCTTCTACGACGGTCTTAAGCCAAACTGCACCAGCCTCCATGCCCTTAACATCTTATGGCATATATAAGCTACGCCTTCACGTTCGTGGTGAGAATGTCAATTATATTTCGTTGTGAATCTGTTGAAGTCTGCACGGCGCGCGCGCAGGACGAATGCATGTATTGACAAAACCTTGTGATCATGCACTACGTGCGGGATCAAGCCATCTCTTTATGAGCAAAGCTACCCTTCTCCTTCTCATCGAACGACTCTTCCCTCCGCGAAGACCCCGCCTCAGCCCGCCCGACCTGCGATTCCTCACCGTCTTCAATCAACGCGTCATCCCGTCCCCCACCTTCCTCAAATGCTGTCTTGTGCTTTTCGAACTGCGCACTATGCGCCTCGGGCCCAAGAATGGTAACAGCGAGAATGAAAGCCGCGACGACGCCAATAAGAATCCCTTGAACCGTGGCGTAGTCCGGCACTTCTTTCGTTACACCGTTGATAGTGACCGTCGTACGCAGATTCTCGCCACCTTTCGCTTCGATCTGCGAGGCAGCGGAGGACATCATCTTGATATCGATCATCAGTCAGAGCGCGAACTCTAAGTGGACAGGGAAACACGCACGTTACCGAGCTGATACGCGACACCCGGGAATGTCGCGCGGAATGCGGGCGGCGAGACTTCAGCAAGCTGGATAGGAATGACGCCCCAGGCGCCCTGTGCGCCGAACTATATTAGAAAAGCGCCCGCCACCACAGTAGAGAATGAGCTGGGGAGGATCCAGAGTGGGATGAAGGCACCGGTCCAGAGGACGAGTAGGACTATGGTGAGACGGCGACCGATGTATCAGGAGATGTAGCCGGCGAACGTGCTCCCTGCGTCGAAGATGTCCATTAGCAACATATCGAATAGAAAGTAAATCATTGATCAACCGGCAAAAGCGCCACAATTGGCAATGATGGTGGCGATGTTCGCGTTGCGCGGACTGAATCCCTTGCTCTGCTGCAAGAAGGTCGGGTAGAGATCCAAGGAGCCGAGCGAAAAGAATGTGAACCCCGTCATGAGCAGAACAGCGTATATGCTGGCTGCCCAATGTGACCTGAGCATCACCCAAGTCTCATGTATGAAGATGTTGGTCTTCTGCCCGGTCGTGGTACCGGACACACGCTGGGCGGCTTTGGCACGTATGAAGATGTCTGATTCGGGGAGCAGCGCCCTGACGCCTGCGGCAAAGACCGATAGTCCGGCGGACGTCCAAAAGAGAGCTCTCCATCCAACGCTGACACTCGGAACGAGGAATAGGTTGATGACGGCCACAACCAGGTAACCGGTCCCATATCCCTGCTGCAGAACGCCAGACGCGATATCGCGGACTTTAACGGGTAAGCTCTCGAGCGCAGTAGACACCGCCAAGCCCCATACGCCGCCCATACCGATACTGAAGAGCGAGGAACTGCGAGAAAGTCTGGAGGAAGCCGGTCTCGAGCTCGAAGATGGCGACGAGGATGAGGTTGAACACGAGCGGCCATTTGCGGCCGAAGCGATCGGAGATGATGCCGAAGATGACCTGTGCGAGGAAAAAGCGTTAGATAGCGGTCACGATATTGGTATGTAGGTGCGCCGTGCCACGGCTCGTGGCCTGGGATCAACCCCGCAAAGTATCGCCCGCGGTGCACGTCGATGCGAGCCACAAGCCGTATATGTTCAAGGGCTCCATTGTATCCGACACGAGGGTGCCGCCGATTCTCTGGAAGACAGATATACACGGATCGGACTCACAGTACCAGCGGGGCGGAGTAGCAATGTCAAGGAGATAGCAGTTGTCTGAACGAAGCTTATCGGTATAGAGGCTATTGAGATATCCAAAGTCCTCACGATGTCCGAAGCGTTGGCCTTGTCGAACAGCTTTTGAAGGTTTGTCACTGACAATGCCACGGAGAAGAAGTCGAGGGGGTCGGTAAACCACGCCAGCCACCTACATTCGGAGAGCAATTAGTTGAGTAGTCATTAATCATGAGCAGGGTAGATGTTACGCACCCCGACCAGAATGGTGCCCATTGTATCCAGGTCAGCCTCGATAACGCTTTCATGAGCGACTGCTCTCCTTGCCGCTCACGGCGAAGGATCAAGTTGCGGATAAAGTACGGCGCCATCGCAACCCCCAGCGAGGAGAAGGGCTATCTGGCACAGAGCTCAAAGTTTGAGGACCAGTCGAACCTTTAGTACGTGACGCCTCTATATCATGAGTCCGCACACGGGGTCAGTCCTGCGAAGTAGCGCTTGAGAACGTTCAGGCTCGTATCCTCGCATTCGTACGCTCCACTTCTTTATCATCTCACCACAAGGGGACGAAGAAATCCATCCTGAGTGGCGCTTGGTGCAACTGATTGTAGTTGCGATACGAGGCGCGGCGGAACGCGTATTGAAGTGGAGAGGAAATGACGGGTTCTTCAGACTTAGAAGATATCCTGGGCCTGGGTGCAACATAGTGATAGGGTGTAACTTCATCTTTGCTCAGAGGTACACGCTCTAGCGCGTAGTGGGAGTTTAGGACAAGTAGAAGACGCGGCGCGGGCATCCGTGTAAGCCCGGATTTCTGCCTTGATTCCCATCTGCGGCTGCCCGCCAGCCGTTCACGCATCTGTGCTCGACACAGGATGGTTCGACCTCAGATGGAGAAGAGGGGAAGGACGAGGCTCGGTGTTATAGGAGCAAGAGTGCGTTGACTATCATATACTGGCCAGTGTAGCAGGGCTGATACTCTCTTTGCAGCAATCATGCCCTCTTTGACAATACGCACGCGTCACATACAGTCCACATTCACGCTGCTGCTACCTTTATTTGCTCTCAGTCCGACTCACTCCTGGAGACACTCGCACCTTGTTTCCGTACATACCTTCCGTCAAGTTCCATCGCACCCACTTCCAATTCTGCCACTCGTCCCGTACTTACACCGAACCAATCTCGCCCTACTGTCAATGCTTTGATTCCGTCCCATGTTGGATGATTAATGCTCTCTTCCTGCCGTCATGATTGCATCCGCAAGCAGGAATGAACTCGGGGGCTGCCATCGCGCGACAGTTGGCAAATACCACCATGATGACCACTTGGATTGCATATTATCCAGTGGCCTTCAAGAGACCTATGGCGGGACTATCTGTGGGATAAACGGTTGAGTATCCTGCGTTCATTCGATGGGGTGCAGGAACTACTGGGTAGACACAGAGGTGCGCATACCACCACTATACTCATCCCATCTTGGGTACTAACATAAACACAGACTCGAGGCGTCTTTGTATCCTACCACATCGAACTACAAAGCACCCTGCACCGGCGCGCCTGGCCCGCGCGTCTCTTCATGGTACCTGCTCGGCCTACAGCACCTTATCTGCGACGGATTGGCGCCAAACCTCATATCGGTTGCAAACGCTGTTCGAGCGCTCAAGGCCTCCCAGGTCCAAGAAGCACTCTGTCGCGAGATCCGCAGGCTGTGCTACGCGTATATTTACGACAGTCGGCGCACTTGGGTCCCGTAGTGTCCGCGGCGACCACACCTCTCCTCGTCGACACACCGAGGCAGTTGGCGGCGCCAGGGCAATGCGGAGACTCCAAAAAATTCGGATGGAAAGGAGGCGTCGAGAGTAGCGAACGGTGTCGGTGCACCGCCTACCGCCCCCGTGTTGGACGTCTCTTAGTACATAGCCTGCTTTTACGGGCCAGCATTTTCCAGATTGTTCAATATATTGTTACCGTTTCAATGCTCTCAATCGTCATCGGTCGCTGAGATTATATACACCTTGTGATGTGTTGCTAGAGTCACACGTATGTTCGTGTCGCTTTCTTCGACAGCCGCCTGTGAGGCTATACACTACCACGCGACCCCCTCGTATACTCAACGTACTAACGGTGTCCTAGCATTCTCACCGGCACTCCGTACATCTAGCCTCCTGACGAATTCGTTGCATAGTTCTCCCTTTCACCCTTTCCCTCCCGTGCCCACATCCGTGCGTCTCATTGTGAGCCCTCTGCCCTTTCCCTAGATGTCGCCGTTCTACAACTCACGATCCCCTGCTGTAAATCAATTTTCATACGATGAATGATGCATCCACTACGACCGATGGACACGTCGCTGGGGCTTCCGACGTGAGTCCTCTGACGACCGGAATACTGTCGTACCTCTGCCGATTTGACTGACGAGTATTAGGTCCTGTCGCATGCGCAATCTCAATCCCCTGGAAGCTCAAAGCCGAATGTTGTGGCCGCGGGTAAGGAAGCGTACACTTCTTACAAAAGAACGTGGAACGTGGCTAAGCTGAAAACCGCCATAACGCTATGTCAACAAGCGGTGGATGACGCGCCCGAACCAGCCGCGAACCTGCTAGGCACGCTGGGAAACTGTCTCTATCTATATTACGACGCTCGCGGGGACCTTCACAACCTCTAGCGGGCCATTACGGTGGCGCTGCAGAGTGCTCTACAATTCGTTCCAGACCGACACCCTAACAGGTCTTTGTGTCTGAACAATCTCAGCGTGTCAATGCAAAGACGCTTTGGATCCCTTAGCGCGACCAACGACCTCGCAAGCGCCATTAAAATGCAACTACGTGCAGGCGAGCTTACTCCGGATGACGATCCCGACCTGCCAACGTGGCTCGACAACCTAGGGCACTTGCAAGACCTTCGCTTCCAGCGTTTGGAGAACTCGAAGACCTCGGGAGCGCCGTATCAAATCGACATCGTGCGAACGAGCTGACTCGTGATAATCACCCCGACAAAGCCATCAAGCTGCAGAACCTCGCATGGTCCTTCAATGCGCGGGGACACCCAAAATCTCTGGAAACGCGCGCCAGCGCGGTGGCGCGGCGTGCAAATCCTGGCGCGGTGGCGCCCTTGGCAAGGCGGCCGGAGCGCTGAGATGAACTCGAGTCGGCGCGCCGCTCGAGGTCAAAATTGATGGCGCCGTAGGTGGCGCGCCGCGCGAAGTCAGGACCCACAACACAGTGTGGGCTCTGCACTGAGGGACACTGCTGCGCTCGTAACCCGTACCGCTGCAGTATGCCTAGTTGGCATGTTTGCTAGCGGCGCCAGGGGTGCCCACCTAAAAACGGGCCAGCGGGACTCGAAAGCTCGCCCAATATCGTGGCGATCGCCTCCCCTCCGCGCCAAACGAGTCGGCGCGGTGGCTCGATTAAATTCGCGCCGCCAAGCCGCGCTGAACGTGAGAACGAGGCGATGCGCGCCGGAGCAGCGCGTCAGAGCGTTCGCGCTGGCGCGCGTCTCCAGAGATTTCGGGTTTTTTGCACGATCTCGAGCAAGCCCATCCCGATCTCGCTCACGCTCTCAAAGCTGTGCACGTTCAACTGCAGAGCTCCGCCGCGGCACCATCCCAAAGCGTCGCTTCCGCACTAGCAGATGCTTCTAAAGCAGTTCTAAGCTCAGAAATGGGTCTTCAAGCTCTTCAAGCTTCAGGCCCCATCAGATCGTCATCGAGGGATCGCCGTTGAACATGGGAGTCTCCTCGCCGAAGTCCGCGCTCTGCCCGGTTTTGAGAGCTTCATGCGCCCGAAACAGCTTTCCGCTCTGCTGCCATCATCTACATCTTTCGATGGACATGTCATCTTCGTCAACGTAGATCGCACACAGTGCGACACGTTGATCATCTTTTCCAACAGGAAGAGTACCGCTCTTACGCTGCCAGAGCTTTCTCTGGTCAAGGCAGAGGGACTGCGCACTCAGTGGCAAGCCTATCTCAGACACCAAAATGTTCGCGAGCGTGGCCTCTTAGCGTCAGGGCAACATCGATCTAGCGGTACTACCCCCTTTCACAACATCTTGGATCGTCTCTGGAAATGGATTGTGGGCCCTATACTGGAAGAACTTGAGCTAGACGTTATCGTAAGTCGCAATCACCGCGGACTCTCTCTATAGCTGAGACATACACTATGTAGAACACAGACCGTGCCCAACTTCCTCACATCATTTGGTGCTCGACTGGACCATTGACACAGCTGCCACTGCACGAAGCGGGGATTTATGACGATGATGCCGGGCCTCGCGTGTACAACTTTGTGGTCTCCTCGTATACGCCGTCACTCTCCGCATTGACGCGTAGCATCGATGCTCTCGGGCAGCAACACACAACGCCTGGGATCCTCGTGGTGGCGCAGCCCAACACACTGGGGTTATCATCACTCCTGGGTACGACGCTCGAAGGAGCTCGGCTGCGCGAGGTCTTTGCCGCCTCTCAGACACCTTCTATGGCTTTGAATGGTGAAGAGGCGATGGTTGGTGCCGTGAAACTTGCTCTCCAGGAGCACTCCTGGCTGCATCTCGCGTGCCACGGCTGTCAAGAGGTCGACGATCCCTTGAAGAGTACATTTGCGCTGCACAAGGGCCGGCTGACGCCATCGGATTTAATGGTGACCACGGCCGATAACGCCGAGCTCACGTCCCTTTCTGCCTGCCAGACCGCCGTCGGCGACGAGAAGATACCCGAGGAGTCGATGCACCTCGCAGCCGGTATGCTGGCCGTCGGGTACAAAGGTGTCATTGCGACGATGTGGTCGATCAAGGATGACGACACGCCGCTGATCGTCGAGGCGTACTACAAGGAGCTTCTCGCGCTGTGCGCATCGGGAGTGCTCGGCGCAGGAGAGACGGGCGCCGCGTATGCACTGCACGAGACGGTTCAGGGTTTGAGGAAGAAGATTGGGGAGAACGTCCTGCGGTGGGCGCCGTTCGTGCACTTCGGATATGGGTAGAAGGGATCGGTCTGTCGAATCGGGTTCATGACAATGTGCTCTTGTGTTTTCAAATGTAGACTGGGAACGTATCGTCGGCATAGTGGCTTTCGGTGCGCATATGTAGATTGCGCGTAGCATTTAGGCTGAGATCGAGCAAAGAATAATATTGATCGGTTCGTGAAAGGTCATCATATGTATCGACATGAAGATGAGTGCGTATTGGAACCTGTGAAGGGCGCGGAATCAGCGGGCAGCTAGGTCAAGAGCGGAATCTAGCACGCACTACTTTGAACATATACAGCGGGCATCCTACGCTTCCAATGTCTTTCCCGCATGGACCACGCATCACATCCATCGCCTCACTTGTCAAGGTACGTGCTGGTGCGTGACGCTTCCGAGAGCTGGCAGATGACCGGCGGCCACCATTGCCGTCATAGTTTGGACTCAAGACACGCATGCCGCGCGACTCTCACCTTGCTCACTTACTCTCACCATGCACCGTACCCATCTTTAACCATATCCTCTACTCTCTAGTGTGGGCCCGGCGTGAACGCGGGAGGCGGTTTAGGATGCATTGCATGGCCTATCTTCCTGGGGCGTACATCTTCCATGATCAGCGCTCAGCTCGCCCCGCGGGAGCCTCGGGGGGCACCTACCCGAACTATACGTCGTGGCTTTTCACGACTATGAATGAGTAATATCTAGGAGGTGCGATCGGCCTTCAGCGTCAAGCGTGGGCAACTGGCGGCAAGGTGCGTCATCACGGCTATCTTTACCGAGTTCGTACACTGATCAACATGTATAGGTGCTATGCACTCATACGCCCACCAGCGCTAGCTTAGCATCGAAGGACTGCCGCTGAGTTGCCCAGCGAATTGGTTTCGTCCGGCGCCTCACATTAAGCTGCGTCCGACCTCCTTTTGACTATCAAGTACATACCGCCGTACTTTCCCAATGCAGAGCAATGTGCATGATATGCATCACAAGATGCCGCCTCTCGTGCGATGCATACGGTGTTCGTTCTGTCTCCCTGGCCACGGACCGCCCTCGCGAATCCAACCGAGCTCCCTCAGACTTGGACAAGCGCTTCCTCGGATTGAGCTTTACGTACTCTCCAGTCGTGTACCGCTGCAACTCTGGATGATCCATGTCTAGGATCAGGGACTGGCAACTCGAGTCGAGGTGGGCCTCTATTACCCGTACACTGTGACCCTCTGCTGATCAACCGGTTCAGACATCGTGTATACCTGCTTGAACGCTTCGAACCCAGACACTGCACTTGTATGCCTATCAAACAGTTCTAGCCAGCGGCCCGTTGGTGAGATCTCCGCGCGTGCCCTGCAGTGTCTTGACTCTATCGCCTTCAATGTGCGCTCATCCCCCAATACTCCCTTTCGCTCCTGACATCCTTTTGCCAGTCTATGAGACGAGAGATAACCGATGTAGCTCTCCCCGTGCAGCTCGAGCACACGGTGAGCTCATACGCGTATCCCGACGATCACTGTCGCGCGCACCTGACCTCGCTCAAGAGAACAGCACCAACTTCAGCCCGCAAACGCTTCCGGTATGACCAGGCCCTGTCCCTGACTCGACACCCACTCTATTTGACCATACTCCTCGCACGACAAGCGCTTCAGTCGCGCTCACCAGGCGTGATACGCTTCGCAACGCATCGGATGCGGGCGCGTGCGAGTTGCAGCGAGCGTCAGGCTTGATGAGCGGTAACGATCAATGGCGTTTGCGAGTGGTGGTTCGGCAGCTAGACTTATTGCTCGTACGGCGGAATGGATATATTGAACATGGTACTTTCGGTCGTAAAGCACGGAATGAAGGCGTATGCGCCTGGCCTGAGACGTCGTCCGCATAAGCGAAGGATCTAAGCGAGTAGACAGCAGCATTGGCAGCACCGGCAAATGCTGCATGTATGAGTGATCGCCGCGTACAAGAGAAAGCTGGAGCCTTAAGGATGGTCAGCCGTCGTCATGCGACAATCTCGAAGCAGGCCGCATGAGTCCGAGATAGCACCTAGTGCGGATGTTGCCGCAGCACGTGCGAGCTATGCGGGTACATGAGAGCAAACAGTGTTTGTACGCCGTGATCAACGAGATTGGCGGCAAGGGGTGAGCATCGCGGACTTGCGGGTGAAAGTCGCGTTAAATACGGGTGAAGCTTTGAGGCTATTGACGCCTAGAGACTGGTCGTCCGGCATAAATGGGGTGTAGCTGGTCTTCATACTTTACTTACGTCGTCTTGTCAACGGCAAGTTCAAGCGCATATGCTATCGATAAGAGCGTGCCCCGCCCCATTCTGTCGCACTGGCCCAACATGCCCAGACATTCGCACAATGCCTCTCCAGCGATGGCAAGCCACGTCGCAGCATTCGCGTCTAGATTCGCGACTCGGCGAGCGAGTTATAGACGTACTGACGTTCTGAAGAGAACGTTTGCACAGGATGCTCATGCAGTTGGGCATATAGATTGATTCGGAGACTCGCATGTGCGCGCGAGTACTGAGTAAGTATTACATGATGTTGTAGACCGGATCGAGCGAGCGACGAGCATGATAGAGAGTTGTGAGAACTGAGGGCAAAAGCTAGGGTCAAGACAATACGCTCAAGGTGTCCATCGGCACAGTACAACATGTATAGGAGGATCCTGCGGCACCATCAGCTGTGCGCCATGCCCCTCTTGGAAGGGGACGTACCCGAGCAACTAACGTTTATGTATTCATCCCTGTGCCCGTGCTATTGCCGTTTATTCCATTCAGCCCATCCATTGCGGGGCCCCACTATCTCCTCGAGTTGCGACGTGCGCGATGCGTCTTATGCTAAAGTTAGCCATGCGGTACGAGACGGTGCTGCATAGTGGCCAGAAGTTCGATGCCAAACGTCCGAGGGCACAGCGTGTCGAGTGTAGGCGTTAACGGGTAGCCGCCGCACAGTTAGCTAGGTAGGTGCAGCATGGTCTGGAGGAAGAGACGTAAAGGCCGTTTGAGGGCAAGAGCAGCCAGTCGCGCCCGCGAGACGCGTCGTTCGAGCGCGTTGCCTCTCGCCACCATGATGCAATATAAAATGTCATTGCTTGGTTTTTGGAAGATCGATGACAAGACCCTCTGTTGGATGATTGGTTGAGTACTCCGCGCCCACTGGCATTTGACGGGGTGCACGGGCCACCTGGTAGCCAGAGAGGTGCGTATTCTGCCACCATACTCATCCCATCTCGGGTACTAATAGAATCACAGACTCGAGGCGTCTTGAGACCGTATAAAATCGGCCTACAAAGCACCCTGCACCGCCTCACTCGGCTCACACAGTACCTCCCCGGCCCACATTGACGGTTCGGTGTCAAACCTCCAGTGATCCGTCCCGATATCGCTTGCAAACACTGCTCAAGCGCGCAAAGCCTACCAGAAGTCCTCTCCCGCGAGATTAGCAGGCTGTGCTGCGCGTCTATCTACGACCGTGGTCATACTTGGGTTCCGCAGAGGGCCAGATCTGGCCGGATGCGACCACCACTTTCCCCTGTCGACGCACCGAGACAGTTGGCGTTCTTGTGGGCGCCAGGACAATGAGGAGGCTCGAGACGTGCGAACGGGAAGGGGGTGTCGAGAGTAGCGAACGGTGTCGGTGCACCGCCTACCTGCCCCGTGTCAGCCGTGTCTCGGTGCACAGCCTGCTTTTACGGGCCAGCATATCCCCTGCGCTGTACTTCCTGATCGTGCAATATACTCCTAATGTTTGGACCCTCCCAATCGTCATCGGTCGCCGAGACCGTATACGCCTTTCAACACTTGCGAGAGTCAGCCATACGTTCGTACGGCTTTGTTCTGCAGTCGCTTGTGAGGCGGTACCAGCACGCGAACCCTCACGCACACAGCGCACTAACGGTTTCCTAGTACTCTCACCGGCACCTCATATATGCAGCCTCCTGAGGAATTCGTTGCACAGCTCACCTTTCCCCTCCCGTACCCACATCCGCGCGCTCACTATGAGTCCCCTACCCTCCATCGATGTCGCCGTACTACGACATACGACCCCCTGTTGTAGATTGCCTTCCGTACGATGCATGACGCATCCAGTAAGACTGATGGACTTGTCGCCGACACTTCGGAGGTGAGTGTCTATGGCCGGGATGTTTTCCTGCTCTGGCCAACTTAACTGACACACATCAGGTACTGTCGGATGCACAATCTCAATCCCCGGGAAGCTCCCAGCCGAATGTTGTGGCCGCTGCCAAGCAAGCACTCGATTCTTACAAAAGAAAGTGGGATGTGGACCAGTCGAAAACCGTCATAACGCTATTTTCAACAAGCGGTGAATGACGCCCCCGAACTAGACGTGTATCTGCTAGGCGAGTTAGGGTACTGTCTAGATCTATATTACGACGCTCGAGGGAGCCTTGACGACCTCCAGCGGGCCATCGCGGCAGAGCAAAGCGCCCTACAACTTGTTCCAGACGAGCACCCTGACAGGGCTTTGCAACTGAGCAATCTCAGCCACTCATTGCAAAGACGCTTTGAATCCCTTGGCGCAATCAACGACCTCGCAAGTGTCATCGAAATGCAACTACGTGCAGTCGAGCTTACCCCGAACGGCCATCCCAACTTGCCAATTCGCCTCGATAGCCTCGGCTCTATCGAGAGCGCCGTTTCGAATCAACGGCGTGCAAACGAGTTGACTCGTGATGATCACCCCACCAAAGCTACACTGCTGCACAATTTGGCATTGTCCCTGAAGGCCCACTCCTACCAAGACCGGACGATGGATCGTTTCACAGAAGCTCTCGCTTACTACATGGCTGCGGCTGCCTCCCAGCTGGCGCTAGACCCGCCGAGTTCGCGTCTTCTTATGGCCAAGTATGTCGTAAGTTATCTCGATGAGAACCCCGAGTTCAGCACAGCCGAGATGGCCGTGCGCCGGCCACTCTCGTGTTCTTGATGTTCTCTCCGAGGTCGTTTGGCTCGGATACAGCATGGAACGTCGCTTGAAAGAGTCCCAGAAGCTCGGCAAGCTCGTCAGACTGCGGTGTATGCTGCCGTCAGAAGCAATGCTGTGGACCAAGCCATCGAATGGTTGGATGCAGGGAGAACCCTCATCTGGACGCAGACACTGTCGCTGCGAAGCCCTCTTCACGAACTACAACAAGTTCTGCCAGTGCTCGCGCTATCTCTCAAAGAGGTGCACATACAGCTGCAGCTTTCTACTCATGCTTCGTCCCATAACCATGCTGTTTCTATCGACACTCACGCGCAGCATCAGTGCTCTCGTACAAAAACGTGCTTCCTCGCCGTCGGGTATCATAGTGGTGACGCAGCCTAAGACGCCGAGGTTGCCGTCTCTGCCTGGTACCACGCTCGAGGGAGGGCGGCTGTGCAGAGCCTTTGCTAATAGCCCGGAAGTCCTCTTCGTCTTGGATGGGGAGACGGCGACCACTGCTACAGTGAAAGAGGCATTGAGCCAACGACCATGGTTGCACCTCGCCTGCCACGGATCGCAAGATCTCACCAACCCTCTGAAGAGCGCATTCGTGTTGCATGATGGCCCGCTGTCGCTGTCCAACCTGATGAATACGACGGCGGACAACGCGGAGCTCGCCTTCCTCTCCGCGTGTCAAACAGCCGGGGGCGATGAGAAGATCCCCGAGGAGTCGATGCACCTGGCGGCTCGGATGCTGGCTGTCGGCTTCAAAGGCGTCATCGCAACGATGTGGTCGATCCGGGATGACGACGCGCCGCTAGTCGTCGAGACGTATTACAGAAGGCTTCTCGAGCTTCGCGCGTCCAGGAGGTCTCGGCGCAGGCGAGACTGGTGCGGCCTACGCACTCCATGAGGCAGCGAAGAGGTTGGTTGAGAAGAATATTCTGCGGTGGGTGCCGTTCGTGCACTTTGGCGTTTGAAGGGTCCTGTTTGGGTGATCGGATACTGTTTGCACTTTCCGTCGTACAAGTCTGTAGGCTGTAGGGATTCATGTACAAATCAGGTTAGGAATGGACCTCAAGGGGGTTTCGGAGTTCAAGAAAGCTCATATCGACACGTAATGGGTACATTGAGCGTACAAGCGTTGAGGGCGAGCGAGTGAAGTAATGTGTCACCCATGAGCAGCTCAGACAAAAGTGGTAAGATTGCATGGCTTAGCAACTACAGCGTATCTTTACGAGGACAATTCTAGGGTACTGTCAGCATATGAAGCAGGTAAAGGCCAAAGGACCACGTACGTGATGTGTATACACTACCGGCCCATCCACCTATACACCGATGCTGACTTCAAGTTCTTCCCCTCTCAGTTCCTTGGGCATAGGTATCTCGGTGATCCGTCTGTAAGAGCGCCACTGAGCAATACATCGATACGGTATCTCATGTCGCCCGCTCGGGTCGAGTTATCTCGGTCGGGGATCTTGTCACATCAGCGCGCGCGAGAGTGGGTGGGCATGGTCCTTCCGAAGAGTGCGTTGGCAGGCCAGTTCAATCATAGGATCGCCAGCGCGTTGGACGTAGCGAAAGCGGGAGGAGAGGTGTAGGCCGCTGGAAGGTAAGTAAGAGCGACGAATGGTCGTGGTGGCGCGGTCCGAAGACGCGTCGTGAGCTTGTTGCCTCTCGCCACCATCATGCAATATATCTGCCTTCATGAATACATTGCAATGGCCATTTTTACATGTCGATCTTGTGCTGTATCAATGTCGCGAGTCCTTCGTATGCCTTGGAGTCCGGACCGCTCTTCCTACCATGCAGACGCCCGGCGATTGCGCTACACGGCGACACAGCGCCCACAGCTCTCTATTTGGTGCGACTGATTGCTCGGCCCTCGTCAACGTATCTTGGGGTGCTTAGCTCAGAAAGTGGTCAACTATGTCATATATGTGCTTGCTCGCATCATACTGGGTGTGTGCTTATTGTCTATCTCGTCGAGTTCGTCTTCTGATCCATCGACACGCAGGCTTTACTTGTACATCTGCAAGCAGTGCGAGCTTGTATGGGGCATGTCTGCTTGAAGAGACCGCCGCGCCCAATGAAGCTGAGAGCGCCGAAGATGATGTAACACAGTAATTTCGAAAGCTTCTGTACTGTAGTGGTCTCTACATCTGATGACCGTGTCTGAGGCTGTGCCAGCCTATGCACCACTCTCGCGCACGACGGAGTTCGAGCGCCGGCCCAGCGCCGGCCAGCGTCGGAACCTCTCTCACTTCGCATATAAGCTCTTGATTGATCCATTGCAGTGGTCGAGAACTTTCCCGCATCTGTTGTCTATTACATCGGCTTTCGTGAGTCTCTATCCCTCTAAGACATGTTGACATCCTGAATCTGACGAGCGCCCGATATAGGTTCCACGATGACAGCCGAAGAATATGAACCACCGATTATCGGATCTTCTGAGGTGAGCACCTCAGCGAAAGGCGTATCGCATTGCTTTCACCAAGTTTATTGATGGGGGCCAGGAATCCACAGTCATGATTGGGAACTCGCAGCCCAGTATACTCGATGCTGCTGAGCAGGCGTATGCTACTTACAAGAAGATGTGGGACATGTCCTGCCTTGACATTGCGATAGCCCTGTTTCAGCGAGCGATAGACATTGCTCCCAGCCCATATCTGCTAGGAGAGCTGGGACACTGTCTGAGTCTTGTTTACGAAGCGCGAGGCGACGTTGCCGACCTCCAAAGGGCCATCTTAGCTGAATACGAGGTTCTCCGGCTCGTTCCAGACAGCCAGCCGATCAAGGCTTTGCGTCTCAACAATTTCAGCTCCTCCCTGCGAAAACGTTACAAACGCCTCGGCACGCCCAACGATCTCGAAGTGGCAATACATCTGCAATAGCACGCGGTTAACCTTAGCTCGAACTACTATCCCGACATGAACGTAAGGCTCGATAACCTGGGCTCCTTGCTGGAACTTCGTTTCGAGAGCTTCGGAAAACTCGAAGATATCGAGCGTGCCATTGCGGTGCGTCAGAACGCGGTCGATCTCGTTGCGGACGACCATCCCGATAAAGCGATGCGGCTATGCAATCTTGAATCGTCGTTGCGCCGTCGTTACGAGCGTCTACGCCTCCTCGGGGACCTCAATCGTGCCATTGCAATGCTACGCCGCGCGGTTGAGCTTACTTCGGACGGCAATCCCCACATGCCCGCAAGGCTCGACAGGTTGAGCACCTTGCAAGCAATCCGGAGACATCGAAGACCTTGAAAGCGCCTTTACCGGCCGACAACGCGCGGTCGCACTCACTCCGGAGGATCATCTCGATAGAGCGATCTTGCTCAACAGCCTCGTGTCGTCCTTGGTCAGTCGCTTTCAGCGCCTTGGCGACGTCGAGAACATTGAGCGCGCCATAACAATGCAACGCCGCGTGGTTGAACTTGGAGTCCTGGCGGTTATCGTAATCTGCCTGTTCGACGTGACAACCTTGGTCACTTGCAGTACCTTCATTTCGAGCATTCAGGAGAGCTTGAAGACCTCGATCATTTCATCAAGCATCGGAGACGCGCAGTGGAGCTCACTGTAGACGGCAGTCCGGACAGAGACCTTGTGCTATACAACCTTGCGATGTCTCTGAGTCGCGGCGCGTTTTGCCCAGCAGAGGACGTCAGAGCGTTTCAACGACGCTCTATCTTGCTATCTTACCGTGGCTTCGGAAGCGCCGATCTCCCCGAATAGCCGTCTTGCAGCAGCTACGTCTGCTGTCGAACTGCTGAACGACAACCCCGACTTCAGCACATTAGAGACCCTCCTACTCGTCCATTCTTACGTCATCGATGTTCTCTCCGATGTTGTCTGGCTTGGGCATACCATCGAACGTCGTCTGGAAGAGTCTCAAAAGTTCGGCCGGCTTGTCAGCTCTGCTGTATGCGCCGCGATAGGTGCCGATGCTCTATCCAAAGCCGTGGAGTGGCTCGACGAGGGAAGGGCTCTCATATGGACGCAGTCACTATCACTGTGTACCCCATTGCGAGATCTCGAGCAAACTTATCCCAGCCTCGCACGCTCCCTCAACGATGTGCATGTGCAACTTAAGAACTCTGTCAACTTGTCGCATCACAGCGAGGCTTCCACGCGGGTAGAGGACTACACGGCCGTTCCTGGCGCTGGCGCGGACCTTTCACCCTCGGATCGGCATCGAGGGCTTGCCATCGAATACGGGAAGCTCGTCGCAGAGGTTCGCTCTCTACCCGGCTTCGAGAGCTTCATGCGCCCCAAGAAGCTCTCCGCGCTCTTGCCCTCGTCCGCTACTTCCTTCACCGGCCCCGTTGTCTTCATCAACGTAGATCGCGCTCGTTGTGATGCCTTGATCCTCCTTCCCGAAGGAACGATCACTACGCTCACTCTACCTGAGCTTTCTCTAAATAAAGCAGAGGCGCTACGCTCTCAATGGTCATTGTACCTCAAGCAACAGCACGTTCGAGAACGCAGCTCGTTGGTGCATAATCAACACCTTCCAAGTGGCACCTCTGCTACTCGCATCCTCGACCGTCTTTGGCGATGGGTTGTGAGACCAGTACTGGAAGCATTGGACATGAGCGCCGTTGTAAGTACTGGAGTGGTAACTGTCACAGAAGACTAATCTATTCATGTACAGAGCACGAATCATAACCGCCTTCCCCACGTTACTTGGTGCCCGACCGGACCGCTCACGCAACTGCCTCTGCATGCAGCGGGCATCTACGATGAAGACACCGGGCCGCGCGTGTACAACTTTGTGGTGTCATCGTATACGCCATCGCTTTCTGCGCTGACGCGCAGCCTCGATGGCCTTGCGACACAAAGGACAACCCCGCGCATCCTCGTCGTGACGCAGCCGGATGCACCCGGCTTGCCGCCATCACCGGGTACGACAGTCGAGGGACTGCGGTTGCGCGACGTCTTCCAGGCCTCAGGGGCACCATCCACAGCTCTTAACGGAGAGCATGCGACGACTGGTGCAGTCGAACATGTACTCAAGGAGTACTCATGGCTGCATCTCGCATGCCATGGCTGCCAGAACATCGATGACCCATTGAAGAGCACGTTCGCGCTATACGACGGCTCGCTGTCGTTGGCTGATCTCATGGCGACTACGGCGGACAATGCGGAGCTCGCGTTCCTCTCCGCATGCCAGACCGCCGTCGGTGACGAAAAGATCCCCGAGGAGTCGATGCACCTCGCAGCGGGTATGCTCGCCGTGGGGTACAAAGGCGTTGTCGCGACAATGTGGTCAATACGCGACGACGACGCGCCGTTGGTCGTCGAGACGTACTACAGGAAGTTGCTTGGGCTTCGTGCACTGGGGATGCTCGAGAAGGGGGAGACAGGCGCGGCGTATGCGCTGCATGAGGCGACGAAGCGACTGAGGGAAGAAGTCGGGGAGTTGGAGGTCGTTCGATGGGCACCGTTCGTACATTTCGGTATATAGAGTGACTTCGTCGTTCTAGGACATTTGTTTAGCTCTATCCGCTTATGTATGTATGCTTAAGAGATGGGCCCACCTTTGCGTACCAATTC